GTACCTGGGTGGGGTAACCTGCTGCATGGAGCTATTTAACTATAGACTGATATTTTCAAATAGGGAATAATGGTGACACTTTAAAATAGTTACCATTGCTTTGGGAATTCATGAGTTACCAGAGATCAGGCAAGTCCATGCTGTTGTAGGATAATAAAATCCTTGGATCTGTAAAGAAAATGCTTAACTTTTTTGCCAGGACCGGTTTAGCTCAATGGATAGAGCGTCGGCTTGGGGACTGAAGGGACCCGGGTTCGATTCCGGTCAAGGGCATGTGCCTTGGTTGCGGGCATATCCCCAGTAGGGGGTGTGCAAGAGGCAGCTGATCGATGACTCTCTCTCATCGATGTTTCTAACTCTCTATCTCTCTCCCTTCCTCTCTGTACAAAATCAATAAAATATATTTAAAAAAAAAAAAGAAAATGCTTAACTTTTTAAAATACCTTTAGTCAAGGGTATGTTTTTATTGATTTTAGAGGGAGAGGAAGAGAGAGAGAGAAAGAAAGGAGAGAAAAGACAGACTGCTATCTTTGCCCTCTGCAGAACCATATCCAGAATTTTTTCCACTGGTATGATTTAACATGATGCTGTCATCTTAGATAGGTGAACACTATTCAAACCATCATCGTAACAACCCAGGGAAGGACCATTTTAAATCTTTTTTTTTTTAATATGTTTTTATTGATTTCAGAGAGTAAGGGATAGGGAGAGAAATATCAATGATGACAGAAAGTAATTGATCGGCTGCCTCTTGCAAGCCCCACCCTGGGGATTGAGCCCACAACCTGGACATGTGCCCTGACCTGTAATTGAACCGTGACCTCCTGGTTCAGAGGTAGATATTCAACCACTAAGCCACGCCGGCCGGGCCTGGTTAGATCTTTTGTGTGTCCCAGGCTCTTATCACTTCAGAGGGACACTCTCTGCTCACATCAAACGTATTCAATTGTACCCAACAGCCTACATGAAACTGTTTCTGTTTAAATGACTTGTATAGTGTTTTGATTGCACAGTGTTGCTCATATTTTGGATCTGAGAACATTTTTTCTGGGCCCAAACATTTTTGAGCTTGTTTGGAGGTTCTAGCAGGGGAGCGCAGCTACTCGTATACCCTTGACCGAAGACCGGTCCTCTCCTCTTGGGGGAAAGTCGTCCTCTTCAACCGAGCGCGCAGCTTCGGGAGGGACGCACATGGATCGGTGAGGGAGGAGGGGGACACCCGCCTAGCCAGCCAGATCAGCCGAATCAACCCTGGCGATCAATGGGGTGACAGATGTCGCAGCCAGATCGCCCTCACATCCATGGGCCCAAACATTTTTGACTCTTGAAAATCTCAGAGAACCCACACACTGCTGTGATCTCCAGAGCCTGCTGGGTAAATCAGCCCCAGTCTACGGAGCTTCCTGTGGGGGTTGCTGGGAGGAAAATGTCAAGAAGCATCTTCATCCTTTTAAGTAATGCCATCTCTGGGGGGAACTGGGGAAACTGCCCCTCTGACTTTGGTATCAAGGGCACTGTGCTTCCCTGTTGTTTCTGTCTTGTGAGCCCGTGAATCACAGACATGACCATGTGACCCTCCCCCCCCCCCCGCACCCCCCAAGAAAGCTCAGAAAACAAGCCTGCCATTTTGTGCCCTAAACTTGCTCATGGATCCTCTTCATAGCTCCTATCCTAACTTTCTCTTTGCCTCGTTTCTTCTCATTTATTTTAAATCTATTTCAGCTAGCTTCATTAATGATACGTAGGCACCTTTAAACCCTTTTTGGACCAAGACAGGATATAAACAACTCAACACATAAGTAGCGTTATTTCCCCCCTAAAAGTGGCTTTCTTGCACATCTTCTATTTGTGATGACCCTTCTGTTAAAGTGGGCGTGAATACTGACTACGTGCTTACCGTCAGCTAGCGCTACGGGAAGCACTCGACATGGATAACAACTCCTGAGACGGGTGCTTCTTCCCTGAGACAGGACAGTAAGACGCTGGGGAAGCTCCGTGGCCAGCGGAAAGGGAGCACTGAGATAGATAGCTGAGCAAACCGGCCGAGCAACTTACAGCCAGGGACAGCAAGCCACCGGGGCAGAAAGTCCCGGATGCCTGGCAACAGGCACAGCTAGTGCTGGACCTTCCTCCCCTGGCAGATCGCTGGCCAAGCGATGTAGACCCCCTGCCCTTTCTTCCCTGGAGATAGCATCTCGGCCTCGGTGGTACTTCAGCTTCGGGCCCAGAAAAGCAGCAATGCCAGGCAGGAGACACCAGGACCTTCTGCAATGACTAACGACCCCCTGACCTGGCACTGCCCAGTCGGTAGAGACCATGACCCTGAAAGGACACACCTGGAAGAGCTGATGAAGATGCTATTGAGATCCCCCCCTTAAGCCCGCCTCTAAGCTCCCAGCCTTTAAACACCCGCAAACCGAAGGTCCCAGCGCCCTTTCTCCTCCCTGGAGCACACCCCCACCTATGCCTCCCCATTTGGTTCCCCCACAGGCGTGCATCTCCTAAACTCTAAGGGACCCAGGAGAATTTTCCCCAGGGGAGCAATGGGCAGCAACAGCTTGTCCCAGGCTCACCCCTTCCTCCCCTCCCCAAGGCCCCTTTTCTCTGACTCCCCAGTGAGCTGACAGCAGCCCCACCTTGGCTCGCTCCTTCCCCATCTTTTTATATTTTTAAAATTAATTTCTTTATTGATTAAGGTATCACATATTTGTCCTCAAACCCCCATTCCAATCCCCAACACCCCCGCCCCCCACTAAGGCCCCCACTCCCCTATTGTCCTTGACCACTGGTTAGGCTCATATGTGTGCACATAAGTCCTTTGGTTGATCTCTCCCTTTTATCCCCACCCTCCCTTTGAGGTCCAACAGTCTGACCCATGGCTCCTTATCTCTGGGTCTGTTCTTGTTATCAGTCTACGTGGTTTACCATTTCCCCCAGATGTGTGAGATCATGTCCTACTGGAAATATAGTTATAAGAATAAAAAATGAGAAAAGCAATAATCGTTATGCTGAAAGGCATATGAATCAGTCTGTAGTGAGCTTCTTTCTGGGTCACCAGTTCTTTTGAGAGTCAAAGCAGCTCCGCCCATTCTCTCTCCTGTTGCTTCTTCTATCCTAGGTCCTTCCTTGTTTCACTGTCCCCGATTTTAACAAATGTGCTCTCAAAATCACCTGCACCCCTACCGTGAAATCTGTCCTGCTCAAGTCAAGAACCCACACGCTGGCATTAGGCAGACCCGCTCTGGACCTGGACCCCTTTGCCGTAACACTGTTACTTTTTAGATAAAGAACCCAAGGCTTGGATGTATGATGTCACTTCCCAGGGCCACTCTGACAGTCAGAGGCAGGGCTGGAATTGCACCCTGGGCGGGCCTCAGGGCCACCGCCTCACCCCAGCCAGACACCTTGCTTTCATCCTGAAGGCCTTCTCCCGGATTCCCTTCTGCTGATTTAGCCTCCAAAGTGCCTCTTGGGTTCCCCGCTGCTCTATCCTCAGTCCAGCCTCTCATTTCAGGGTCCTTTTTGTTGTTGTCAATCCTCACCCCAGGATATTTTTCCCATTGATATTTAGAGAGAATGGGAGGAAGTGAGGGAGGGCTGGAGAGAGAGAATCATTGATGCGAGAGAGACACATTTATCAGTTGCTCCCACATGTGCCCCAACCAGAGCTGGGGATGAAACCTGCAACCCCGGTACATGTTCTTGACTGGGAATCAAACCCGAGACCCTCAGTGCCCGGGATGGCACTCTAACCATTGGGAAACACTGGCCAGGTCAGAGCCCTCTTTGCTCTGCTGGGATTTTTGCAATAGCTTCTTAGAAGATCTCTCTGAATCCAGGCCTGGCCTCTGTGAATCTATTGTCTGCGCCTCTGAAATACAAAGATGTCCACAAGATCCTGATAGGGTGTCCCAGAATCCAGGTTCCTTTGTCTGCCACGCAGGACCATTACCCTCTGTCCCTGGCCTAACCAGACACACCACAGCAAACCCCATGCCCCCAGGACAGTCATTACTTCCCAACGAGGGTCGAGGGTCGCATGTGCATTTCCTGGTACATAGTTCCCTCCCTCCTGCCCTGGAAAACTATACAGCTCTCCCATTTCAAGTCAAAATCTCTTCTCCACTGTGACACATTCTCTGAGTCTCCTGGTCTCCAACCCTCCTCCATACATTCCCCATCTGCAGAGACCGCCTCGCCACCTATTACTTATGTCCTTGTCTATTTGTCCACGTCCCTTACTGGGCCCTGAGCTCCTGGAGGACAGAGACTGTGTTACCTTACCCACTTTGGGACTCCCCCCTCCCCCATCCCAAGGGCCCAGCACACAACAGTTACTCAATAATTGTTGAATGTTCAACCAAGCAGTGGGTCTAAACTGGATTTCTGTGCGCCGCCAGGAAATTAGCCTCCCTACAGCATTTCTGCCCCCAACCCCTAAAGCCAAAAATAGAGAGCCACCACTGATCTGCAGCTTTAGGCAGATTTTTAAGAAGTGCCTCCTCTGGGATACCCAGCCCAAATGTCACGTCCCCGTGCCTCTCACGCATTCAGCGCTGGGCTGCTTCCTAGCCAGCTCCCTGGGGAAGGCGCCCGTATTTGAGTCTCACCATATGACAACTCAGTTCTTCCTTCACTGCTTGGTCTCACTGAAGTGGAAGTGGGGATCCTGTCTTAGCCACCATGGAGTCTCAGGTGCCTGGGATGATGCTTTTCAAAGCCACGGTGGTTTTCAGGAACATGTTTTAGACCGAAGGCAGAGCTCCAATCCAGTTACTCCTCAGTTCAAATCTCCACAGAGCCTCCCTCTGCCTCATGATTGTTTCAATCCGCTCCTCCCTCCACCCCCCACCCGCCCCAGGCAGGCACAGCAGACACTCAGCCTCACAGCTCTCCAGGCATCCTCCCCCCACTTCCTCCTCCTCAGGTCACCTACACTCCTCAGGCTGTGGGCAGAGGGGGCCTCTGAGCATCTCTGACCTCTGGGTCTTTGCTCACCTGCCCCTCTGCCTACAGTGCCCTCTTGGCTTGTCAAAATTCTATCCATCCTTCAAGACCAACTCAAATGCCACCTTCTCCCTGAGGCATCCCGCCCGAGATGTGGCCTCTTGCTGCTGAGAGCAAAAGCGCTTGGTCCTTCCCCAGTCATTCCCGAAGCAGTGCTCTGTGTTCCAATGGCATGTGGGTACTTAAAGCGTTCTGAGGGTCGTTATTCCCAGACTCTAGTTCAGTGCACACGGTAAGAGCTCAGGAAATAGCGGGCTACACAGAATAGGGAATCCAGCACTACACCTGCACGTGGACGAGGCAGCAGACCCATGATGCAGGACCCAGCGGCACACAGACCTCCTCCCTCTCCTCTTATTTCCCAGCACCAGCAAAGCATGAGCTCAGGGAAGACTGCACACATGGCCCCTCCCTTCTTGCCCCAGCCAACAGAGCTTGGCTTCCCTTCCCGAGAGGTAAGCGAAAGGTGTGACAGCTGAACTGCCTTTGCTCCACCCTCTTTCTTTCCCCAAAAACAGAGTAGAAATTCACCTCTGACGGCCTCGTTTTCAAGCTCCTGCCGGACGGGACCCACACAGGCACATGCCCCCGGTGCTCAGCACGCCTCCACCGCAGGAGCCTCTCCCTCCAGCATGAAGCCTGCGCCCCCAGCTGCCCTGGTCCTCAGCCTGGTCTTCGCCTCCTTCCAATCGGCTTGCTTGACAGGTGGGACTGTGAGCTTTGTTCTTGGCCACGCTGGGAAGGGGAAGGGAGGAGGAGGGGGGAAGGAAGGAAGGAGGAGTATTCTTTGGCCCTGGCTGGTCCTGCACAATGAGGAAACAGTCCTTTCTCTTCTGAAGCACTGGGCAGAGGTGGGGTGGGGGTGGGGGGGTGGGGTCTTAAATGCACGCCCAGCCTCAGCTAGGACAGGAGCAGCCACCTCTGTGGACCTTCACCACAAAGAAGAGAGGAAAAAGCAATGCACAGAGCCTCTCCCAGCAGGGGACCAACTTAACCTAACATGGCATCTTTTGGGTGCAGTTTCTCAGGGGCTCCTTCTCGGAGCCCGGGGCTGCTGAGCTTCGTAAGGCTCCTTTTGCGCTGCCCCTCCGTTCCCCTAAGGGCCTCTGACCCTCTCTGGACCCTGTGCTTTCTTTGCAACTTTCACAAAACCTTAATGCATAAAAGCTGCCACACTCAGTCTAGTTTCTCAAGGCTCCTTTTGCGCTGCCCCTCTGCTCCCCTAAGGGCCTCTGACCCTCTCTGGACCCTGTGCTTTCTTTGCAACTTTCACAAAACCTTAATGCATAAAAGCTGCCAAGCTCAGGCTACCGTCCTCCCATCTCCCCAGGGCACAGGGGGGGTTGGGTGAGTGCCTTGTGGAGGTTGGAGGGGCTGAGGCCATCCGTCAGGATGTCCCAGGCTGGGCTCTGAGCCGCATGCAGAGGCCTCCCTGACACTCCCACGCTCCTGGCTCTTGCCCTTGGCTTTGATCTTGCTCCTCAGCTCCCCAGAACACAGTCTGTCCTGTTCCCGGAGTCTGTCTCTATTAGTCTGTCTCAAAACCAATCCTCACCACACTCACCCCCACATCTACCCCCACCTCCACCTTCACCCCCACCTCACCCCCATATCCTTCCTCCCCTTCAGCCTGCATCTGCCTCTCTCTCTCATCTTCACAGACTCTCCTGTGGAGGTCCAGAGAGTATGGGCTCTTAAAGCCTGTGACCTCAATGCTGCCTTGTACCCACCAGCTGTGTGACCTTGAGCAAAGGACGTTCCCTTTCTGTGCCCCAGTTTCTTTGTTTATATCACGGGGAAAATCCTAGTGCTTACATACAGGGTTGTTGTAAAGATGAAATGAGGCGACTGTAGGTAAACACCTTTGAACAAATTAACTCATGGTAAACACGTAATGAATGTTGGCACATCCATTGTCCAGTATAACTCCGCCCCCAATAAAAGTGTTTTATGTCTTCCTTTCTGCTTATCCTCACAGTGCCTTGTTTAGGATAGGGCCTCAAAAAAAAAAAAAAAAAAAAAAAAAAAAAAAAAAAAAAAAAAAAACTTGACAAATGTAACTGCACTGAAGAGCTGGGTCTTCCCAGCAGCCTTTACTTTGGAAGTGACCCCAACTGCGACCAGTCCCTGGGTGGCTCTGCTTATGAGGGTGGTATTTAAATTCTTAGGGGCAGAGGGAGGCAGGGGAGGATAAAGGGGGGATAGATGGTGATAGAAAGAAATATGACTTGGGATGGGGAACATGCAGTACAATATACAGATGCTGTATTATAGAATTATATGCTTGAAACCTATATAATTTTATTAACCAACGTAGCCCCACTGCATTCAACAAAAAATAAATGGGAATCCTTCTTAGGAACTTCTAACGAGGCTGCCCAGTGTGAGCCATATAAAATTGCTGAGCAGTTCTTGAGACCTACATAAATGGCAATTTCATATGGTTTCACCTAATACTAGCATCCAACTTACTAGGTTTTTTCCACTCCCTTGTTCTAGACAGGGTCCACTTCCATCCAAGGGTAGAGGGGAGGTGAAGGTCAGGGCCAAGGAATTTAGTTCGGTCATAAGGGACATTAAAATGTTGAGGTATCAATTTCTCCAAAACAAATTAAGACCAAGCTCTAAGCCATTTGGCTGTAAATAATTTACAGTAACAATCAGATTGCATCAAGGCAATGACTCTACTTTGGCCAGGACACTGGAGCGGCGTGGGGGTAGGTGGCATAAAATTAGTCTGAGCAGCAATTCGGTGGCTTTGGCTAGTCAAGACGTTTCCTCCTAACTTCGGCTGCGCGACACCAAGCGCCTTTGAAGGACACGCTGACCTGGTGGGGGCCTTGAGTGCTTCCAAACCAGTGTTACGTTTTTGCATTCCCAACAAGCAGACTGAACAGCAATATAGTTCCCAGAAAGAGTCTTCAAAACTGGTCTCATGGTCTTGTTCTACCTATTGTAGATTAGCACTAACAGAACTTTTTTTTTTTTTTTTTTTCCTGATGAAATTCTGCATATTTGTGCTGTGCTTTCATTATGGAAGCCACCAGCCCCATATGGGGATTGAGCACTTGAAATGTAGTTAATCTGACCAAGAAGCTGAATTTTTAACTTAATTGTTTAAACATTTAAATAGTCACCAGTGGTGGCCGTGTGGGACCGAACAGATGGAGATCCCCTCCTCTTATGCTGTTGTCAGAGGGAGCGTGGGCAGTGGTTTTCTTCCTTGGAGACCCTCCTGTTCGTCTTCAATACCCCAGCTAACCCCTCAAACTCTGATACAACTGTAAGAATTCCTGCCGAAGTTCCTTTTATCATTGGGCTCTCTGCTTCTTAATCAAGGGACAATTTGAAGTGCTGCATATTTTAGCAACATCTAGATTTGCTAGTATGGTGTTTACATTCCCCCCCCCCACCCCCGATAAACACTTTCATGTCTTGCTGAATAATACTAGTATCTTTGTCAGAAATCAAGGTCAGATTTCAATGTCTATTTGTTCAAGAGTTTTGTTTTTAATATATTTTGCTTGACTTCAGAGAGAGGAAGGCAGAGGGAGAGAGAGATAGAAATATCAATGGTGAGATAATCATTGATTGCCTACCGCATGCCCCCCAGTGGATATCGAGCCCACAACTTGGGCATGTGCCCTGACCACAAATCAAACGTGACTCCTGGTTCATAGGTCAATACTCAACCACTGTACCACACAGGCCAGGCTATTCAAAGTTTTGGAGGAACTTAAAGATAGTTATGGAAAGATGCTTCAGATTTTTAAATAAGTGTGCTACTATCTACTAAAAAAAAAAAAAAAACAAAACTTTTCTATGTGTCTATTTGCATAGAAAGCAGCTAATTAGGTAGAGTGTTTGGGAAGCTGTAGACAGCAGGCCTGGGTAAGGGACAATGTGGAAATAAAGCACCTCTGAGAGAGAACAGACCACAAGAGGGAAAGGGGAGTGTTTGTTTGCTAGGGCTGCCGTAACAAAGAAGTCCACGATCAAGGTGTCTGCAGGGTTGGTTTCTTCTGAGGCTTCCCTCCTGTGTCCTCACATGGTTTTCCTTTGCTTGTACATCCCTGTGTTTCTCCTCTTCTTATAAGGACCCCAGTCATATTGGATTAGGGCCCACACATATGGCCCCATTTTATCAGACCTCTTTAAATGTTTTATTTCCAAATGCATTCATTACTGGGGAATTAGGACTTCAACATCTGAATTGGGGCGAGGCAGGGTGAGGGGGCAGGGGGGTACAATTTAGGGGTTGGCTTTGTTGCATGAAGTCTAGACTGGAACGTCTATAATACTTTCATAGTACTCACTACTAATTTACTCAGACTGTCTTTTTTCCCCAGAAACAAGCAGTGGCAACAACTCAACCTTGACCAACAACCACCACCCAGATCCTGAGGCTCTGGAACAGTGCCACAGTAAGCTTCTGCCAACTGTCCCAGACAGAACCAGCCCTGGGTCTGGGAGGGAAACGTAAGCCTCCTGGCTTTCTGTTCATCGGCGTGGGGTGGCTGAGTGCTGGCCTGGCCTCGCTGGGTGCTGGCGTGGTTTGCAGAGTCCGTCCAAAAGCTATCTCAGCCTTGTCCCCCATCTAAGCTCACAACCTTTGGTTCAGATAGCTTTAGTGACTCATCCCCCGACAGGAGCCAAAGATGCCCTGAGTTCAAAGACTAGTAGATGTTTGCCAGCGGAGAGACCACAAAACTCAGCTAGTCCTACCTCTGCCAGAGGCAAGAGCTTCATTTTCACACCCTTTGCATGTTTCTGTTCTTCTCTACTTGAAAACCTCCAGCCACAAGGAGGGCAGTACTTGATAAAGCAACCACTATTACAGATGTCTAATGAACAGGAAGTCCTGCTGTATATTCTAAGTCTGGCTTCCTTTCATCTGCCCTCATTGAATGACCAAATGTGTTCACTTCTGGGCACTCAAAAAGAAGAAGAACAGGCAAGAATGTGTCGAGGATAAGAACACAGCTTTGGAGTCCTGCAGACTTGCCTCTCAGTTCTAGCTCAGCCAACCCATGACCTTGGGCAAGTTACAGCCTGAGAGTCTTCATGTAAAATGGGAATAACAGCCACACCTTATTTATCACTTTACAGGGAATAAATAAGGTAACGTGTGTAGAGCTTCTAGCAAAGCACGTGGCATGTTTTCGTGAAGATTAGCTATTGTATTATTATTATTGTCTTGTTGTTATGACTACTGGAGACAGGGCGGGCTAATGTGATGCTCTCTTCCCCCAGATGTGGACTTTTGCCCACAAGCATCCCGGTGCTGCCACGCTGGAGTGGACGAGTACGGCTGGATCGCGGCCGCTGTTGGCTGGAGCCTCTGGTTTCTCACCCTCATCCTGCTCTGTGTGGATAAACTGATGAAGTTAACCCCAGATGAGCCCAAGGACTTGCAAGCATGAGACGCACAATCAAAGTCCCACGAGTGCCAGCCACCACCCAGCTGTGGATAACAGCAGGCATGGAGCAGCGCCAATGTGGTTTCTTGTAAAGTCATTTTCACCTTTAAACGTCAGTTACTTTTTAAAGGGAAGGAAGACAGAAAGGGGCTCCAAAGAAAAGAATGCCAGTGCTGCCAATTCCAAGAGGCAGGTGGGCCTCTGAGCTCCCATAACCTCCTTTCTTCAGAGAGTCTCTGTGGGATTTCCTTCCGTTTAAACCATGGCCTCCCTCTGGGCTCCAAGGCAGAGCACAACAAACGTAAGACTTGATCTTCCAGTCAACACATTTGAAATTAAACGTATAACCTTCTCACCGAACAGAGGTCATTGTCATCTGTCCTCATTTCAGTCAAGGGCATCCCTGTCCCTTCAAAATGTAAGGATCCCCATCGACACCCCCTAAGTCCTCACCCGCATGTCCAGTGCTTCCCCTGCTCTGTGCTCACCCCCATGACTATACCTTCCATGCCTAAGCTGTCCCATCCTCCCTGCCAGCAGCCTGCTTCCGGGCCCCACACATTGACCCTGCATTATTCCCGTGATACTTCCTTCGGTTCTCGCCGCTTTCAGGATCTTTCTCCCCACGGGCAGCTGTCACACGGCCTGGCATTGAGCTCTTCCCATGAGTCCAACCATCCGACTCCCTGCCCAGGGCTGGGGGGCTCTGGTTGGCCCACTCCTCCATTGGATGGATGTCTTTCCTGGCTCCACTGCTCTTCACCTCCACCTCCCAACTCCATCTCCAGAACAAAGGCCATTGCTCTGCCTGGAAGCTTTCTGATCCTCTCAGGGGACCTGGAGCTGGTGCTCTTAGCTACGGGGCCCTGAGGGGCGGCCATCACGCAGAGACCTGCTCACAGTGAGGTTATACTCCTGGGGCACAGAGAGCTTCTAGGGATGCTTGTCTGGTGAAGGAAGGAACCAATGAGTCCTCGCCCCAGATGAACTTAGGACCATCTTTTTGCATTCAGAGCCTCCATCTTTCTATCAATGGTGAAAACAACCAAACTTTCAAAGAAGCCAGGTGGCTTGATTCCTGTTCTCTCCGTGACTCACTCAGCAGGAGGATGTGGCTGGAGGCTGTGAAGTCTGCAGTGGGGCTGGAGGAGAAGAGGGTGGCTCATCAGTAGGCAGGAAGAACAAAGCGGCTCTTTCTTTATGGAGCAATGGCTGCCCTTTGTCAGGACCATATACTTAGATGGGTTCTACTCTAAATCATCAAAATATACACACGAAAGAAAGAAAGAAAGAAGAAAGAAAGAAAGAAAGAAAGAAAGAAAGAAAGAAAGAAAGAAAGAAAGAAAGAAAGATGCAAGGCCCTGAAGTAGGAAGAAATGTGTGGCAAAGGTGGCAAATGACTCAAAGCTGCCCAACCCTCTTGCAGAAAATTGAGATCCATTTCCCTGACAGTGGAAACGACAGGGATCTCGTGGCTCACTCTCAAGAGCCAGATAGTTTTAGGATCTCAGCTGTTAAATCAGTAAAATGGGATGGGTTTATTGTGACTAAATGTTAAATAATCATGTGAACAAAAGTGTCTGCACGGCCCAGCCGGAGTGGCTCAGTGATTGAGCGGTGCCCTATGAACCAGGAGGACACAGTTTGATTCCCGGCCAGGGCACAGGCCGGGGTTGTGGGCTGGATCTCCAATAGGGAGCGTGCAGGAGGCAGCCGATCAATAATTCTCTCCCATCATTGATGTTTCTCTCTCTCTCTCTACCTCTCCCTTCCTCTATGAAGTCAATAAAAATATATAAAAATGTCTGCATCATTCCTGGTGTGTTGGGGACAGATAAACAGTCTATGTGCCATTTTTTAAGAGATTCACAGAGTTTCCACAATACGTGATTGCTTAATTCCTTAGAGATCCAAAGGTCCAGTGATGAGCACATTTGGATTTTACACCTGAAACGTTTTTAAAACAAAACAGTATGGCACAGTGGGAAGAGCTCAAGCTCCAAAAAGAAATGAAAGAAGGGAAATTAAGATCTATTTCTGGCAGGGGTGGTGGGAGGAGATCAACCAGAGAATGTGTATGCATCTGTCTATACGCAAAACCAGGGACACAGGCAACAGGGTGTTGGAAGGCAGAGGCAGCGGGGAGGGGCGGATTAGACGGGGTCAATGGAAGAAAAAAGGAGACATACCTAATACTTTCAACAATAAAGATTTTTAAAAATTAAAAAACTAAAAAAGATCTATTTCTGGCCAGTGCGAACAGAAACAAATCACCGCTTTTTTTGTCATGGTTGTTAATTCTCCCCAAGGCAATTTTTCCACTGACTTTTTAAGAGTGTCAAAGTCACTCCCTGCCTTGCTGAGCATCCGTCTTCTAAGTGAAAAATGTAAGCTTTGGGCCCATCAGTGGCTGCAAACTCGGCAGAGCTCTCTGAGGCGCTGTGCGGGGAAGTGTGTACGAGGCCCCTCTCTGCAACCAGGGCCCGGGGCTCTGGTCTCTTTCTCGTGTCCGCCCCAGGGCAAGAGTTAAGTTGTTGCTTTTAAAAGCAGAGTCAGAGCACCAGCCGGTGTCTGAGATCTCCTCCAGCCGGGGCGACATGAAGATTCCTAGACTCCACAGGAGTGAACTGTGTGTGGATGCTGTCATACGAACATCTAAGTATTCTGTGACTCGCTTCTCTTTCATCTGCCCAAGAGGATGGCAGAAGGAATCTAAACAATCGCTCTTTTCTTAGAGACAGAAGAGAAAGACGGTTACATACCTCCACGGCTATGCTTCCCACATGGGGGATCTCAGATTTGTTTTCAGCATGGAATCTATTCAAGCAAAGCAAAGATCTATCAACAAATTTAAAAGGAAAACCAAGTATCAACTTCCAGGGGTCTAAGAGCTTCCTGGTGTAAAGCAGCAGGACCTGCCTAATGGTAGATGCACTTTCATTTAAAAATGTTGTCTGTAGCTCTAACCAGTTTGGCTCAGTGGATAGAGCATCGGCCTGCGAACTGAAAGATCCCAGGTTTTAATTTCAGTCAAGGGCATGCACCTTGGTTGCAGGCAAATCCCCAGTAGAAGATGTGCAGGAGGCAGCTGATTGATCTTTTTAACTTTCCATCTCTCTCGCTTGCAGTCTGTAAAAAATATATATATATTTTTTTAAACACAAAAAACTTTATCTACAGACACAGAAATTTCCATCTCTATGCTTAAATAAATAAGTAAATAAAAATGTTGCCTGTAGTAGTCAGTGCTGCCCTCAGCACAGTGACAGACTGTATGACACAAAGCTCGTGACGTTCCAGACATTTCGTACCAAAATGTCCTGTGCAGAAATAGGATAATGGACTTTAAGGTATGGCTTAAGTATCTGACTTTAAAAATCATCATTTTAAAATCTATTCCTTTCTATGTGCATGATACCCAGGGACAAATAAACCAAAAACAGATTTTCTGTTAAGAATGAAATGTCGGGGGGAAAACAAACAAACAAACAAAAAGAATGAAATGTTGGCCCGGCTGGTGTGGCTCAGTGGTTGAGCTCCGACTCATGAACCAAAAGGTCATGGTTCGATTTCCAGTGTGAAATGTGCAGGAGGTACCCAGTCAGTGATTCTCTCTCATCATTGATGCTTCTATTTCTCTCTCCTCTCCCTGAAATCAAGAAAAATGTGTGTGTGTGTGTGTGTGTGTGTGTGTGTGTGTGTGTGTGTGTAAGTACGAAATGTTGTACCATGCAATAATCAAAAAGATTTCGCTAGGTTGGGCCTTGTTTCCATCAAAATAAATGTAAGTATATTTTTAAACTTAGAAAAATGCCAATCTAGAAGTGTTTTTGCTGAGGAACAGCTCTCTCTGAGACGCTGGCACCTGTTCTGAGATCATAGGTGTGATCCTAGGGTCTTCACTGATGAGTGGTCTTCGCTGAGGAGTGCCCTGGCCTACCTGGTGTCTCCAACCAGCCCTCCTGGGCTCCAGCCCACCCACACGCCCTCCCAGAATGCTCTTTCTATTATGTGGCTAAATCATCGAGCCACTCCTCCACCTAGAACCCCGCAGTGACTGCTCACAGTGATCAGAGTAAAATCCACAGTCCTAGGATGACTGAGATATCCTTCTATAACTAGATCCTCAACCTTTCTTCAGCTTTACCTCTTGGGTATCCTGCAATGAAACCCAGCTTTGGGGTGTTTCAGTTCCCTAAACCTGCCAGGCCGTCTCTATCCCCCTTTCCCTCCTTCCTGCTGGTCACACAGCCTGGAACATACCTTCCCAGAGGTCAATTCACCATGAACCAAGAGGAGCTTACATCTTGGGTCCCCTTACTTACATGTCCCTGCTACACCTACCTAGAGGCCCTCTAATGGTATGTGTTTTAGGCCCTGTAAACCTGGACCTGTTCTCTCTCTTACCCTTCCCCCCTCCCTCTCCTAAGTGGACTCGTTTGGTTTATTGGAATTAGATCAAGTCAAGCTACCCACTCCTCCCTACACACACACACACACACACACACACACACACACACACACACGCACACACCTCAGTGGCCTGTGCTCACCTCCAGGACAGCATTGTGATAAAGGCTGTGATTGACCAAACTCTAGACAGGCTCCTCTGAGCCCACTTATCTACAAGATTTCAACCTTGGGCAATAAAAACTACAAACTCTCAACACAAATGATTTCGCTCACCCCATTCCCTCACATTAAAAGGACTAAATATTTAACATGGTTTCCAACAACTCAAGACCATATCTCTAGGCTGGCCCAGCCCCCCTTAAACTGCCTGAGACAGCCCAGGCTGCCAAAAGAATTTCCTGTTTGTTCTAACCAATGTCTGGCCCCAGCCCCTGACCATCCTGTTTTATGGCATTTACTCAAAAGTACTCACAGTAGTGAACCCTTCCTCTGTTCATTTGAGATGTCTGTATCTATCTACCTATCTATCTATCTATCTATCTATCTATCCATCCATCCCTCCCTCTCTCCCTCCATCCATGCATCCATCCATCCCCTTCATCAATCCTACAACTCATGACCTGAAAGCCACTCTAAACTGTCATCAGGACAGATAGGGCCTCAGTCTCCCAGTCTCTGTGGGAGGACAGAATCCTAACTCCAAGGGTTGCCAACTAGCAGCCCCAGCTGGCCTCCTCAGAATTTACACTGGCCAACTCTGTAATTTCTCACTTCCCTGACTCGACTGAGCCCTCACTCACACCCACCCCACTCACTTCCCTGACTCGACTGAGCCCTCACTCACACCCACCCCACTCCTTCACTGTCTTTCTCTACACAAATCAAAGTCTGGATTCAGTTCACACTGGTCCCTCTTCCCATTGTAACAGTAGATCACTGACTAAAATCTGTCCTTACCAATTTAGTGCCCAGCTTTGTCTATCTTTGACAACTGAGCTCTTTGGACCATTGCATCTGCCTGCTTGTGTTTCTCGCTGATCGCTCTGAGGGCAGGGACTGTGTCTTTAATTTCTGATCCCTTCCCCCAGTGCCTGGGCATGCAGCAAAAATCAGTAAATGTTCGATGAATTTGTGAATCAGAGGAGACCCAGGAACGCGGCCTGTGCAAATAACCACAGTGAAGCAACAGAGCTCGGAGGACAAGGGAGGAGGCTCCTGGGAAAACCTAGGGTTTCAAGGTTGGAAAACATTTAAATTATTGTTTCTATAAGTTTATAATTATACATCAAGTCCTTGGTGGAAACGAGTAACTTGCAAGTCTGCCCACCAAGTTAATTCTATGATGGGAGCCTAAATATACAAATGGACAAGGGCCAGACCAGACCAGACCTAAAAATAGACCTTTGACCCACAATCTGTAGCAACCAGTCCAGGAAGCCAGTCACCACCCACAGCAACTTGTCCAGGAAGTAGAACTACTGTCTGCAGCATCCAGGCCAGGAGCCAAACAACAACCTCCAGAGCCGTCGGCCCACACTGCCAGGATTTGGTTAATAACTGACAACTTCAGTTCACTTAATTTCTGTGCCCATTTCCAACTGATGACCGACTGAGAAAACCAAACTATGTGCCTCTAACCCGTGCTCAAGAGCTGGCAATGTATGCATCACAGACATGGAAGCAACTAGACAAATAGGCAGATTACAGTTCCAGCCATGAGAGTGGAGACTCCCCCTCAGTGACAGGTCATGACGGGGAGCCTGGCTGCACCTCCATATGACACATCATGGCTCTCCGCTCCCATCACACATACCTGCCCAAGAAGAGGTCAGGTGGTGGAGACCCAGCCTCAGGAGA